GCTTGGCCGTGTGTGACCTGGGGGTGGGAGAGTCCACTGTGGCAGACCTCCCAGGGATAGGGGCAGGAAAGGGAGCAGTTGAGAGACCTTGCCAGGCTGACTGGGCTGTCATACACCAGGGGAAGAGAGGGCAGAGTCACCCCCAGATATCTGAGTTGGGGGTAAGGGTGATCTGAAGGAAGGGGTTGCTGAGTCGAGGGTTCTCGGAGCCTTCATGGGTTTAAACTGTCTCTGACCTGCAGAGCTGAGGGTGGTGGTCAAAGCTAACGTGGTGCATGGGTTTTAGAAAAACTCATCATGGATGTAAATTGCAGAGAAAAATCCAGCACAGAGATGGGCGTTAGCCTAAAAAACCCTCTGTGGTTGGGTGTGGCCCTGGGATCTGGTTGGCATTTATCCCACCCATGTCTAGGGTGGCAGGGAGGATGGCCATCATGTGGCGTTTTTCCTTCACAGACACATCCACTGCTGTGGTGCATGTGTGTGCTTCTCAAGTGTGTCTGTGCAGCACCATCCCTGCAGGTGGGACTGCACCTCTGCACCTCGTCCTCTCCTCGGGAAGGAGGTTGTTGGCCTGTTTCCAGTCAGACTTGGGGACACGGCAGCATATGGTCTGAGCCACTCGGGCAGGCTAGTTTTAGAGCTCACTCTGCAGCTGCCACACTAAGCTGCCTTAAAAAACCAGCACGTAATGAAGGTGTCTGGTCGGCTTGAAAGAAGCATAAAACGTGTTTGTGCTGGGAAATTAGTGCTCTATAGCCTATAATGTACATTTTTCAAAAATTATTTCAGCTTGACTAACTGGAAAAATTTAGAGGAAAGTTGACTGAAAGCATGGAAATTGTGTGCAGTGATTTCGCTATGAATGGAAGCAGCCTGTCCACATGATGAGTCTGAGCCCTAGCCTCTGTCCCCTGGGTGTAACAGCAGGATCTGCCGTGTGACTGTGTCACGGTGTGCTCTGCATGGTACTGGAACCTCAGTGAGTGTCACTTTGCATATTTTCTACAGAAAGGTTCTTGGTCAGGTTTTGCTGTTGGTTAAAGTCAGTCTTTAAAAATGAATTTGGTAGTGATCTGAATGTCCCATCTTGTTATCTTTAATATTGTCAGTCATCACAGGCTCTGAGGCACACCGTAACAGGTGGTGGGGTGCACAGGGAGGGTCCCTGGTGTAGACATGTGCAGGGACAAGACGCCCACCTGGGGGTCCCATCCCCTGCCTAGCACCAAAGACCCACACTTGTCCTCTTCCGCGGACTCCACTTCTCCATCACTGGACACACTAACACGCCCTCCAGGAGTGACCATCAGGGAAGAGGCAGAAGCTCTTAGTACCACAGAGATGCATACCCAATCTGTCTGCTCTCCGTGAACACTTGCATTTGGGTGAAATCTACTTAATAAAGTCACTTCAGGAGATGGAAGTAATGGATCTTATTTTAGTTGTCATTATTATTTTTTTAAGATAGTCAGAAATATTTTTCTTCTCCAGTCTTTTCTAAGTTTTAAAAACATTCTGCAATTACTGTATCTTCTGATATTAGATTTAAGGTAAGAGTTCAGGTAGCTCTGAAGAATCCACATTGTGGAAAATGAAATACAGTACTTCCTCCTGCAGGCCAAACTCACTCTCTAGTCACCTCAGCCATGAAGTGCCCTTTGATTGAATTACACACACACAAATGGCCCTGCACCATGTGCCTTCACAATGGGGACATGCTAAACACACTGTTGGGAGCCATACTTTTCCTGGACAGTAGGTCTTGGCACCCTTTCATATCAATGGCAGTCTTACTGTTTTTAATGGTTGCGCTGTATTCCATCCTGTGGCTGTACCACAGTGTGTATGCAAAGACATTTATAGAGATCCAGATGCTTCAACACTTGCGATAGGATTACTGGATAAACCTGCTGTAAGTTACAAATATTCTCCTTGAATAATGCATTTAGCTTAGCAGCTTGTATACATGCATTCTGGGATCATGAGGCTGACTCGGAGCTTTGGCTGTGGCCACTGCCCAGCATCTTGAGAGGGGGTCTTATCACATATCAGTAGCCTGGGAAAAGATCAAAATTCACAGTTATAAGTATTCACAGTTTTACTGAATGGTGTATCACTTTTGTGTAACATAAAGTGGAAAAAGCAGTAAGTCAAACCGTAGTGATCAGGACCATGTGTACATTTACAGACACCAAGGTGTCTTCAGGCTGTCTCCAGGGTGTCCTGTGGCTGTACCTTGTGCAGGACTCCTGGGGCAGGAGGTCTTGATGTGGCCTCTGGGCATATGAATGTGCTCCACCCTGCGTCTTGCTCTCTGAGGCCATCCTGTCTGGACTGCCTGGCACTGTAGTGTTGGGTTTTTGCTCGAGTGGTAATGGCACTCTTGGGCCCCATGGGGCCCCATGGCACTGTTGGGGCCGGTCTCGGTGCTGCCCAACTGCTTCTGGGTCAAGATGAGGCCTCAGCAGAGGGCATGGCAGCCCCTCCAGGGCCCCAGCTTTGCTGCCCTGCAGCAGTGTCTCTGAGCCTGTTCCCAGGAGCCTGTGGTGTGGACTCAGTCCACCCTTGTGGAGGAGGAGCTGGAGGAGCCTGGTGACACCCATCACTACAGGTGGGGGCCAGATGTACCACCAGATGACCCTGCTTCTTTATATGTTGGCAAGGCTTTTTAGTGAGGTGGCTATAGCTGCCTGCATTTCACAGGTGGTAAGAATCCTAGTTAATATTTGTTAGTTGTTTAGTAGGTGTTGGGTTCTAGTTTAAGCTCTTTATATAGATTAATTTCAGTTCTCATAACAACCAAACAATGTAGGTAGTTTGTTCACTTTCTGAATGAAGAATCAGGCCCAGAGAGGCCCAGTAACTTCCCCAAGAACACCCAGCTTGGAGGAGCCAGATCTGGAGCCCTGGTGGTCATGCCCCAGGGCCCTGCATTGGCCCATCCCACCTACATCTTCTGCAGATGCCAAGGAACAGCTGGCTGCCTCTGCTAGGATCGTAAAGGCAGAGTGGAGACAAGAGGAACGCTGTGTGGCTGTTGTTAGCGGTCATGAATAGCCACGCTGCAGATCCCCACCTCACCCCACACTCCTTAGGGGTGCTTTGAGGGTCTCTTCTGAGTAGAGAAATTCCTTTATTTTGTGACCAGGCCTGGCATGCTCTTTTTGTGTGTTACAGGATTACAAGAGCCAGGAGTGCAGAGTTAAAACAGCGGTGGGTAATTAACACAGGGAGGATGTGTTTTGCATTCTTGGTTAGTGTGATAAGTAATTATAACTCATGGGGTTTTACATTAAGGAAGTAGAAGAAAGTGGTCTGCAAGAAGGGGAAGACAAGTCAGTGGCTGGGGGCCGGGGTGGGTCACCAAGGAGGTCGGAAGTGTTACTCATGAGCTGGGGACTGGAGGCTGTGGGTCAGAGGCTAAATGTGGACCTGACTGGAAGGTGGGAATGAGGAAGAGGATCAGGTCTGGCCTTGGAGGCTTTTGGGACTTAGACACACAGGACTTGCTTCCCCCCATTGTCATCTCTTCCCACCATGAGTTGGTGGTGGATATGGCACAAGTTGTCCAGCCATAGAATGTGCAGCGCTGGGTCTTCATTTATTAAAGTGATGGCAGTTTGTTTAATTTCTCGAAAGAAATTTTTCAGCTTCAGAATGCTTGGCATTTACTTTGTTTACCTAACACTCCTTTTTGTGAATCCCTTTTCCCATTGAAGTGTTTCTGGCACCATCTGCAGGTGGCTGCTGTCCCCTGTCCCTGCCCGAGTGACAGCAAAGCTTCATTTGAATGGGTCACTGTGGAGCTCTCTCAGATGCCCACCAGAGATAGGACTTGTCATCCAGCTGCCCAGTGGAGGCGCTGAGTACCTGCTGGCATTTCTGTGGGAATACCCATCCTGGGTATGTGGGGCCTTTCCCAGGAGGCTTCCCTTCTGTAGCTGCTCATGGGAAGACACTTGAGCTTATAAAACTGGTCAAAAGGAGCAGCTGCTGACATAGGGGACTTTGGGATGTGTCTCTGGCAGCCGTGGATCGGAACTGATGAATGGCGATCATTTCCACATACTGCCCATTTGCTGACACCGAGTGGTGTAGGAAGGGGATGGGGGGGCTGCAGTGAGGGCCTGGGTGGGGTGGTCAGGGTGTCCCCTGCGCCTCCAGGAGAGCCTCTTTCTCAGCTGGCTTCTGGAAAAGAATGGTGGTTGTGTGTGCTAGGAGAACAGCAGCAGTCCTGCCTGTCACAGAATGCGTTGGGGCCGAGGTGACCAGACGTGGGCCAGTTGGGATCAGGGCCAAAGCATCACCTTGGCCAACTTCTCAGCTATCTCCAGTCCTAGATGAGGGCTCCAGGTTTGCCAGGCTGATTCTATTTGCTAAACCTTGATTCTAATGTTGGTGATATCGCTGGGCTCAGGGACCTGTCTGGAGGGGTATGTCCCACACACTGCAGGGTGACAGATACTCCAGAAACCTTGCCATTCCGTGGTGGACATCCTTCTGTTTGGCTTAAAAACTGTCACAGAAAACAAAGTGAGGCCTGGGAATGTAGCTCCGTGGCAGAATGCTCACCGACCACGTGAGAAGCTCTGCGTTCTAGCCCAAGCACTGCAGGTAAAAGGAAAGGAGAAAGAGCGTCCATTTGGTTCTTGTGTATATGTCCCAGTGTTTTCCTAGATTAATAGACGATTAGATGGTGCTTTTTGATACATGAACTCCGCTGCCTGTGATGGTGGGTCTTATTCACATGGCTTACTTTGCAGGGAAGTGGCTGTGGTCAAGGCTTTGCACCGGGTGACGGGTGGGCCGCACTTCCCCTTTGCCAGCCACCTCACTTCTCTTTACACCAGCTACGCTGGTCCTGGGGAGGAAAGTTGTCTCCTAGGACCAGAGTTTTAAAAAGCGTCAAGGATATTTTCAGGGCTTTGCAGAAGTGATGCTGGGTGTATGAGGGTAGGAACGTGAGAACTTACCTGTTTGTTTCCCATTGTTTCCAGACTAGAGGTTTTTGAGGACTCCGGTCTTGAAGAGGGCAGAAGATCTCCAGCAGCACAAGATATAGGTAAATCATTTTGTTTTGTGATCTCTGTTCTCAGTTTGTCAAAGCTGCTGCCCTTCAGAAACCTCAGCTGGGCCTGGCAGATGGTAGCACGCTTGGTTCCTTCTTGCACGTTCCTTGGGGCAGAGGTTGAGACTTACGTTGTCCCATGGCGGGCAGTGGTATCAGCCCTGGGGGCTCCTGGGGGCCTTTCCTCTTTCGTTCTCCTGAATTGTTTTCCTGACTCCCGGCCTCTTTGTAGCTCTTTCTCAGCCTCCCCCCTCCCGGGAGGGGGACCATGGCTGCCTGGTTACTCTGGGCACAATGGCTCCTAGTGAGGCAGCAGAAACCTTTCTTTTCTCCTTTGAGGGGTGAAAAGAGGTAGTTGGTGAGATACCGTGTAGAAAGAAGGTTCTGATGTCACTCAGCATGGGATGTGGGCCGTTTCATGTTTAATCTTAGCTATCCCAAGCAGTGTAGAGTTTTAGAGCAAAGGGAAGTAACAGCATAATGGATAAAAACAAAAGGAAAAGTCCATCTTGGCTCTCCTCTCCCATAGTTCTCAGGGCAGTGGTGCAGGATTGTGTGCTGGCTCTCAGAAGTGCACATACCGGCCGACACCGCAGAAGTCTGGCTGTGCGTGTGACGGAGTATGGCTGTGCTGGGCGATTCTGATCAGTGTGGCCTTGCTTTAGGGCCACCTCACACATTTGATACACAGTGGCTGGCTGTATACCTTTTTAAAAAATAAATTACCTGGTATGTTGAGTGGGGGCTATTTTTCTTACCAGTTTGTGAGAGCACTTTATTTACAAGGTGTTTAAGGGTTGGCACTTGAGTTACAAGTGTCATTTTCCTCATATTTCTCTCCCCACTTAAATCATTTGTCTTTGATTTTTGCTGCTTCATTTTAAGGAAACGTTTTGGAATCTTTGATTGGAAGCAGCGCAGTGCTGTACACTCTGCACTGTGTCAAGTAGTTAGAGTTCCCGTTTACGAGCCAGAGGGGAGTGGCTCTTCCCCTTAGTTCTGTGTTGCATGAAATATATTCAGAACAAAAGCAGCACTTCTCATTTCTCATAAATGAGGTCAAGGAAATGTCAAGGAATCACCTAAACCAAAGGACACCTTAACATGTGGAAGAGTGACACCAGTGTGCTTTACTGTAGCGGAATTGAGACATCAGTTTGTTTTGTTTTGTTTTGTTTTCTGCTTTTGCAGTACAGTTAGTCCCTGACTTAATGATGATTCCGTTCTGGGAGAACATTTGTTAAGTTGGATTCATGCCTAAGTTGGAGAAAGTGAATCTTATATAGTATACCTGTAAAAGTTCGCAATTTGAATGTTCCTAAGTTGGGGACTTACCACACTGGGGATTGAACCCAAGGTCTTCACACTGAGCTACATCTTCAGCCTCTGTTTTCACTTTTTATTTAGAGATGGAGGTCTTCCTCAGTCACTGAGTTGCCCACATTGGCCTCAAATATGGGATTCTCCTGCCTCATCCTCCCAGAGTGCTTGGATGTGAGCTACCACACCCAGCTGAGACATCGATTTTTAATGATCAAATGGACTTTTGTTTTACAAAAGCAATATGAAAATGTAATTAATTATTTAAAATACAAATATTAAAAAGGGTGTTTCCATGCCATCCTCCTCTCCCTCCCCACAGATAACCTGGCAGCAGTTAGGCATGTGTCCAAGCTCACACATGTATCTGGCATCTTTGTGTCCACATGTGTGTGTACACGGACGCTCTGTGTCCTAGTGTTCCATGTCTGGTGTCCTTGTATGTGTGTGTATCCATGCATATCTGTGTCCTGTGTGCGTGCGCACACACACACACGCACACACACACACCTATGTCTGGTGTCTGTGTAGACTGGAACACAGCATTGGCCACAGCGCCCTGGGGCTCTGTGCCTGCTTCACATGTCCCTGCACACTGTCGCAGCCCCTGACAGCTACACATCTTCGCGGTGTGCCTGCTGACTTGCCCCTAGTGAGCAGCCACCCCTAGGTGTGGACCTTGCTGTCATGGCACTGTCTGCAGGCGTGTACCGAGTAGGGCCAGGTGGTATATGTAACAGTGGAGGCCTTCCACATAGCCTTGGGACCAGCACTCCACACTCTGCTGGTGCTGGCCAGTAGCAGTTTTTCAAATTTCAGTGTGGTATCTTATTTAAATAAAATTTCTTTAGTGCAATCAAATCTTGGAGTTATAAGATGGGAAAATTAACGGCGCAGATAGATTCCAAGTAAGGCTAAACTTCAGTATAGTGTCTGCATGATCTTGCCTTCCCTGTAAGTCAAACACTGTGAACTAGAAGCACTGGTGACTAAAGCACCATGTCATTGACATTTCATTGATACACACTTACACACACACACACACACACACACACACACACACACGCATGCACGCACTCTGTCCCCTGGCGTTCTGGAAATTCTCTCTTGGGTGTATTGCATCTGCTGAGCTCCCTGTGGCTCTAGCAGCCTGGGCTGGTTATGGTCTTACTCATCTCAGGTTGCAGTTACATCAACTGGGCAACTTATAAACAACAGAAACTTCAGTCTCTTTGTTCTGCTGGCTGGAAGTCTAAGGTCAAGGCACTGGCAGAGTCACTATGTGGCAAGGGCCTACTTTCTCATTGGTCGATGGGCCTTTCTTTCTGTCTGGGTGCCCACATGGTAGCATGGGTGAGGCAGCCCTTCGGAGCCTCTGGAATGGGAACACTAACCCATTCGTGACCTAATCACCTCCTAGAACTTTTACACTGGAGGTTAGGATTCAATATATGAATTTAGGGGTGGCACAGACATTCACAGCAGCCACCACTGAGAGAGAACTCTAGGACCCCTCTAGGGACTTAGGGCTGACATAGCGCCTGGCCAGCCACTGCCCGGAGCAGACCCACACTGTCCCTGGGAGTCAGGACCATGCTGTTGGGTGGTGATGGGAAAGCAGGAGGCCCAGGGAAGGTGGTTATTTCATTTCTGCAAGTACTGTCTCGTCTGGGCCCAAGGATGCATCTATGTGCCACTCACATGTCCACGTAGCATGCAGAAAGACGGTGTGGTAAGCCTCTGGCCCAAAACAGAGTGCTGTCTCACTCATGTATGTCTGTTTGCATCTCTGCATGCGGCCCCTGTTGTGGGGGTCCCCTGCTCCTGTCCCCCATCCTCTGTTCCTGCCACATGCTCAGCTTCTGTCCTTCATAGCACGTCCCCTGTTGTCACAGCTGTTTGATGGTTGTGCATGCATCAAGTCCACTACCCTGTCTCCCACCTTGGTTCCCTCCCATCACAGCACTCTTGAGTCCCCAGGTGCCAGTGTGGACAGGAATGAAAGCAGGTTTGAGACATCCTGCTGTGGCTTGCTTACCTCTGGTGCATCCTGGCACAGTCCTGATGATGACCTGCTCATGGGTCCAGCCCAGTGCAGCTGTAGGCCTGAGTGTATCCTGCAGGGTCCGAGTGCAGCTCTCCAGGGATCTGCTCTATGTCCTGGGAACCCTGGAATTGCAATAGGCAGCTGTTGGGTTGTGACCTGGGGAGCTTCTAAATCTGCTCTTGATTCCTGAAGGAACAGGCTCTTTTTATGGAGTGTGCAGGGAGTTGACAGTGGCACCACAAGGGGATAGGGGAGGGAGTGGAGGACCTCACTCAGATTGGGTGCCAGGCCCCAGCACTGCAGACTGTGCTTGAGGAGGGCCATGGCTGTCTCTTCCCTTGCACCCGGCAGCCTGCTCTCAGGTCAGGAGGAGGCATGGTAAGCACATCCACCACTGTCCTGGCATGGGCCCACAGTTCCATGGTGGTTCACCACCCTGTCTGGATGGCCCCATGGGACAGGAGACATACAGGCTGACCAGCTCCTCCAAGCAGGGTCCAGGCAGGTGATGACTGCCCTCCTCAGGTCAGCCTGTCCGTAGCCCACCAGCATGCCCTGTCCCGGAGTCCCTAGGATGCTGGAGAGGGCACTTCCATGTCAGCAGGAGCACTGACCCTTCTGAGTGCCAGTGACCAGTGTCCCCTCAGTGATCTACCCCAGCTGTGAGCTGCCAGTGAGGAGCCACATCTAAGATTCAACATTAGATCAGAATTTATCTGCTCCAGTAGAGCAACGCATGCACATGCATACACATATGAATGCACGCACACATGCACACACACCTAAACAGAGGGACACATGCATGCAGGAACCGAGAGGTGCATGTACCCTTACATGCATGCACACACACAGATACATACTTGTACCTACAAAGGTGTATAAATATAGGTGTCCACATTCACAAAGATGCACACACATGCATACACAATGCACACATGGACATGTACAAGTACACACTCAGGTGCACACAAATGTGTATACACACAGGTCTGCACATGCATCTACACACAGATCCGTGCAGGTACAAATGTGCACGTGCACACCTGTGTGACCTGGCCCCCACCTTGGTACTCCTTTGACTTTCAGGGCCCTTGAAATGCAGAGCTGCTGTCTGACAGGCCCTAGGAGGCAGGAGGGAGGGACTCAGAGCACTCCTCAAAATAGCACAATTGCATGTGCCCATGGGAGTGACATTCATAACCCCATCTCTGATGGACTCCTCTGTCAGGTCCTTCTCCTGAACGCAAAGGGCGACAATTCTCCACTGTCATTGCAAAATGTGCATTCATTAGCCTCACTTCCCAGTGGGATACCCTCTCTTCTGAGAAATGCTTGAGAAAGCAGAAAAAAGAATGGGAATTTTCCAAGGTGATTTAACTTAAATATTATGAGTGAGGTAACATTTCATTGGTGGCCTCTGAGCTGCTGTTCCTGAAAGGCACAGTGTTGGTGGATCTGTATGGGTAGGGTGCGTGCTCTGGTTCAAGTCGTTTTAAATTACACCAAACGATGAGTGCTTGTTGAAGAACAAAACATTGAATGCTTTCATGTCATAAAGTCTGTGCCTCGTGCCCCTAGCCTGTGTGGCTTGGGCCTGTCTCAACCTTTGGCTCCTGGGCTCGTATGTTCAAGAGGTCCATCAGAAAGAGTGCAGGGTCTGGGCAAGGGCCTTGGGAGTCTGGGGTCTGCAGCTCAGGCCTGGGTGAGAGCTCACCACGCAGTGTGAGGTCTGCCCAGCAGAGAGAGGCCTTGCAGCTTCACGCCCAGGTGGTGCACACCCAGGGCTCCTGAGGGCAGTCTAGGCCTGCCCAGGGGAAGGGCAGCATAAAGAAACGAGTCTCATTTCCCTGTAATCAGTGTGACTATTCCCAGTGAACACCAGCAGTTCTTGGCCATGCTTATCATTTCGAGCCCCTCTGGAGCTGTTGGCTCCTTCTGAGGAGGTGCAGAGACACACAGGGTATATTCTCTCACACACATTCCTGTGGGAACAGTGCGGCGGGAGTCGGGAGGCTCGGTTGTAATTGCTGGTACAAGATTCATGTGGGATCTGTTCTGTGAAACTGCTCTCGAAGTCTCCCCTGCGTTCTCGCTAGCTCTGGCCCTTGTATTGTAACTGAGATTTTTGAGAGTCCCTGGTTTGGCCCTGCCTCAGAAAGGAGTGAATCCTGGAGGTGTCAAGTCCTTATGCCACCTGCTGTGGAGTGGAAAAAGGAGATGAACGGTGCGGCTGGGGCCGGTGGGGCAGAGGCTCACTGCAGGAGGTAGCCGACCCCAGCGCTCCCAGGCAGAGACTGGCCCTCAAGAGGGAACAGCATGTGCAAACCTGAGGGACTTGAGGAGGGGCAGGGTGAACCCTGGAGGAGTGAACTCACAGGGTAACAAAGCTGGGTCCCTCAGGCTCCACCAGCTGCAGCTCTGTGGTCTGAAGAGTTGGTCAGCATCAGCAGTGTGCAACATCTGTGGGCAAACACAGTCGATATTAAAGCTCCAGCTCTGCGGGCTTATTAAAGTTAAATAAGTTAATTTAAAAATAAAGGTGAAATACTCAGCCTCCTTACTTCCTCATAATCTCTTCACTGTGCTGTTGTGTGTCTTCTTGTGCGTGTCCGGTGCCCCTCCTGATATCACGTGGAAAGTGGTGGCAATGTTCACCCCATGGCACAGCCCGCCACCCATGGAGAGCCACCTGTCCCACTTGCTGAGCACTGTGCACCCATATTCTTTCTAGCTTCCAAAGTTTGTCCACATCCCCTGGGCTGTCACCTTCTCCTTCCATTCTGGTCCTTGCAGTGTGTGCCACTTAAGTGTCATTTCACTGGATTTAAGGAAAGAACCAAGGTGCTTCTCTGTGTTCTGAGCTTCGATGTCCAGAGAGAGGAACCTCTCATCTCCTACTGTGGGTTCCAAGTCCAACCGCAACACATCCCAGGCCCCCAAAAGTAGACTGCAGTGGGGGCATTTCAGCAGGAGTTGAACACTTCCCTCCAGTAAGATCTGGGCTCTCTCTGGTGTCTGGTATGATATGGACCATGCTTACCCAAGGGGCTCACATCACTGCTCCCAGGCCAGGGGCCAGGCCCCAGCCCTTTGCCCTTGGTCCTTGTCTGGTCCACAGGACCCTCAAGGTGTTTATTATTGTTGTCTTCTGCAGTGCCAGGGCTCGAACCCAGGGCTGTGCATGTGGCAGGCAACCACTTTGCCTCTGAATCATACCTTGGCCCCATTATTGCTTGTTACAGTCTGGTTTTTAGAGCTATTTGGAGAGGAAGGTGCAGGGATTCCCACATAAGCCCTGACACCCACAGCCTCCTCCACGCAGAGCCAGCCATTCGTTTGTTACAGGTGATGACCCTGATGATACCTCCTCAAACGTAGAGTCCGTGGTATAGCCGAGGGTTCACACTTGATGTCATGCCGTTTGCAGTTTGAACAAGTCTCTGATGATGTGTGTCTGCCACTGCGGAGTTTCTTTGCCCTAAACGTTATGTGCTCCACCTGTAGAGACACTGAGCTCCATGTATTCAGGTGTGGTGGGACAGAAGGATAGAGGGGGTATTAAAGGAAACTGGTAGAGGGAGGTCGTCTTTGGGCTTCTTAATTGTCATTAACAATGTGGCTTTTATTCTGGCTCAGATCCCTGGGTGCTGGGGCATCTGGGCCGCATCAGCACAGCTCCTCTGGAAGATGGGTGCCTGTTTCTGTGGGGAGCAGTGCTGGCCATAGCTTTGCTCACCCTCAGTACCACGTGCTCTGTAGCTGCTTTTTGGCCCCAGTGGGCACCATGGGATAGAGCCAAAAAGTTAGAAATGATGCCCACTGAAGTCTGATACCCCAGCCCCAGAGGAAACAAGGATGGAGTGTCCTGACCTCAGGGAGCTAGTGATCACCCTGCGATGGAGACCAGGCAGCACTGGGACAGGGTGGAGGAAGCGCAGGGGCTGGAGGGGCCCACATCGGACAGTCTGGTCGCTCCCCCCGCCACCTGCCGTCTCCTCTCTGAGTCCCTCCTTTGTGAGGCTGTGTGCTGTGAGGAGCCCAGCATGGGACGATGCACAGAGTGGATCCTGCCTCGTAGTGGCATTGAGGGCCTGGCTGGGGCAGATAAGGACAGGAGCTGCCCCGTGGCATCAGAGTGTGCTGGGGACATGAGATTTGTGAGTCCCCACCCCAGCTGGCTAGTTTCACCAACGGCATAAGCTGGTACTTTTAATGAGGTATAGTTTCTTTTTGGATGAATCAGAGTCCATTGCTGCCATTTCCCAGGTGTGTACATGTCTTTCGGTGAGGTAAGAAGAGCACACAGGTGGTGTCCGGGGCTGCTGTGTCCCCCAGGTCAGCCACTGCTGCATAGTAAGGCCTTGTGTGCATGAGTTCCCATGTGTGTGTGAGCATATGTAACGTGTGTGTGCAAATGCTCACATGTGTTAGCGTGTGTACAGATACATGCACACACTGTGTGCATTTTAGCCCTCTGCAACCCCCAGGTTCTGTGGCCGTTTTCCTTGGTGAGCATTGCAGGGCGTGGGAAGCCAGAGTCTCCGAGGCAGCCTGAAACTCAGGTTCACACCCCTCATTCTCTGGTAGCCAGCTGTCTGCAGGAGCTGTCCTATCATCCTTAGCCCACGTTGGGCCCCTTCGCCTGTCTGCTTTGCCTTGTGGGGCCGCTGGGTTGGGGTGGAAACACTGGTTCCTGGTGACTCTGCTGTGTCCCTCTGTGTATGGGGCTGTCCCCTCTAGCAGCCTCTAAGCTCCTAGGCTCCTGGGTGCTGCTCAGCATTGGACCCTGACAGTGGAAGTGGTAAGAAGCACCGTGGGGGCTGTTGAGGAAGGAGCAGCAGCTTGCCCTACATCCTGACATGTAACCCCTTCCTCTTTCTCTCCAGGACTCCTTCAGAGGCCCAGCAGAAGCTTCAGTGGTCTTGAACGAAGGTGGTGGGGTGCAGCCCACTTCTCACCTGGCAAGCGGGGCAATGTGGGTTCTTAGGGACTCTGCCATTCACCAGCTCTGTGCTGTGCTGCTGGTGTTGGCCTGGGGGCTCTGAGCTGTGTCACCTGCCACAGACTCCTGCTGCCCATGAGCGTTTGCTGCTGGAGACCTTGCCGAGGGCCCCACCCATGAGGATGTACGGTACCACTGCGGGGCTGCTCTCAGCCCTGGCGCTGGTGTTCGAGGTGGCAGTGGCGTTTTCACCCATACCCCGGATTACCTGGGAACACAGAGGTGAGCTGGTGCCAGTGCAGCATGCATGTACATGCAGTGTGCATGACAGCTGCTCTGGACACTGGGGTGGATACTGGGTACACTGGTGCTCAGCTGCTAAGGTCTCTGCCCTGGAGCTTTGGGTATGAGTCGGTGGCCTCACGAGGAGCCTTGGACAGGTGCTCTGGTATCGGGAGGTTCTGCAGGGCTTGCCCAGGCCTCTCACTCAGCATCCGTGTTGTTTGAAGCTCCCAAGCACTGGCTGAGTGTATGCCCAGGCATGTAAGGAGTGCAGGAGGCATGACAGGATGGATTGTGTGTCGAGGCTGAGTGTCAGACCAGTGAATCACATTTGCTGCCCATTGATCTCAGCTCAGTTCTTTCCTCTCCCAGAAGACATGTCCTGGGACCCCAGGTCTCTCTGCTTTGGTGGATAGAGAGCTGAAGTATTGGGTGCTCTGAGCAAGGCGGTGCTTAGTCAGGGCTGGGAGTGTCTGATGTAGAAGCAATCACAGGCCGTGATCACGCAGAGGCAGGACCTGCAGCCTGTGTGCAGCTGCCTTCCACACGGCAGAATCAGAACAGAAAGCATTAACATGCACTTTTTCTCCTTGCTTTTTAATAATTTATTGGCACCCACTGTGCTAGCCACTACATTGAGTGCTGGAAGATTTAGTCAAGTGGGATTTATGTTTGTAGGGACTCAGTTTAATACGCACAAATAGGAGAGATGAAATGATGGAGCTTTGGTGAGATGTCAGTTCTATTGAAATTAGTGGCCAGGCAGCCTCAGAGAGGAGAGCTCAAGGACAGACTCCCAAGATGAGTTTGACACAGACTATAGGTGGCCTTTCAGCAGCAGGCAGAGTATGCAGAAGCCCAGAGCCAGCAAGGAAAGCACCATCAGGACAGCCCCTTCCTGAAGAACCAGCTCGTAAAGACATAGACAAGAGGTTGATGAGCAAACTGAGGCCCTGGCCTGTGTTTCTGGGGCCACCGAGTAGGGGTTGGAAATGGCAGATCCTGAAGCACAGAGAGGTTGGGGCACAGCCACGCTTGGCTGCATTGCTGCCTATGTGGCCACCTTCCCCAGAGGTTCCTGCATTCTGTGACCCCCACAGTGATGCCTTCATTGCCTGAGCCTCGCCATGTGGCTGTAACCAAGATGGGGTGCTCAGGCTTGAAAACGACTGCTTGCTCTTTCTCCCCCGCCTGCCTCTGACGATGCCCTTGCCTCCTGCAGAGGTGGGGCTGGTGCAGTTCCATGAGCCTGGGATCTACAACTACTCAGCCCTGCTGATGAGTGAGGACGAGGACATCCTATACGTGGGTGCCCGGGAAGCAGTCTTCGCAGTGAGCGCACTCAATATCTCCTGGAAACAGCACGAGGTATGTCCTATGCTCCTCGTCCCCAAGGTGTTGCACAACTCACCCTGAGCCCCAGGGACCCGCTTTCTGCACCTCCATCTATGTAGCCATCTCGGAGTGTCCGCCACCACTTCACCCAAAGACTTCCCTGTTTTCATCTCTTCTTTTTGAACTTTTTTTTCACATGGTGGTGCTGGGGATGGACTCCAGGGCCTCTTGTGTACTAGGTGGGCACGGTACCGCTGAGCCACATCCTCAGCCCCTGGTCCTTATGCGATGCTCCAATCTAACATCTTTGGCAGCGCAGCCCTTGGGGTGGCTCTGAGTCCTGGTGGATGGGTGGCTTTCTTGCCCTCCTGAATCCAGGCTCACCCTGGACATTTTCTAGGGCTGAGCTCTTGTTTTATCTCTGTCTCCATGTATTTCTTAATTTTGTCTGACACATAAATTAGCTTCTGAACCCAATCCTTTGGAATGAAGTATTTACATCGGGGGTCACTCTAAAGTGGGGCTGGTGGTTCACCTCCCTCTCCCTTCTCCTCGTGTCCAGTACTCCTTTCTCCAAGCCCTGACTCCATGTGGCCGCATGGACGGAAGGGTCTCAGAATTTTGCACACTGTGTGACCAGCCCATGGATGTGCCTGAGCCCTGCCCATTGTCCTCTGAGAACCATCACTGTGGTCCTTCATTCTCAAAAGAGAAAAGGAGAGCCCCAGCCAGGCTTCAGCACAGCTTACCTTCCCTGTCAGGCAGCTGATTGCCGGGATGGGCCCTTGTCTGCTTCTGTGTGTCCTTGCTGGGACTTCCCACCGTGCACACACTGTGCAGATGTGTCTGCACATGGGCGTGGTACAGGACCCCTCCCTTGAGCTCCTCACCCCCTAAGGAGCTCTGTGCTTCCTGACCACTGAACCTCACCCTTGTGTGAGTTGCTGGGTAGTGGAAAATACCCTGTTATTATCATTTTTGCATCTGTTTCAGGACCTCACACAGGGGGATGGTAGGGCATTTGAGGGAAGGTGAGGCAGGAACCTGGGAGTCCTCATTACCCCTTCTATCCTTTGGGGCTTTCAGGGTACCCCCTGACAGTTCCAGATGCCATGGCTGTCCTGGCTTAGTGATGAGGCAGCAGCACTACCCTTGCTAAGGAGGGCTCTGCTCTCATACTGTGCTCCTCACTCTGTCACTGTCAGCCACCAGACACATAGGTTCCAGGCACAATAACTCTACCATTCACCAGCAGGGTCAGTGTCAAGACATTGTTTTAAATTTGCTTTGTAATGAATATGAATTAATTGTACGGATCAATTGGGTTCAGTGTGCTATTTCTGTACTTCCCTACAGCACACACTGGTCGAGTCCAGCCTGCATCACACCCTTCCCAGTCTCTGGTAATCACTATTCTGCTTCCAGGTCAGCCTTGTTTAGCTTCTGCCTATGAGATAGAACATGCAGTACTTGTCTTTCTGTGTCTGGCTTATTTCAGTCAACATGATGCCTGCAGGTTCCATCCATTTGGCTGCAAGTGACTTGATCCCATTCTTGGTTAAATAATTGTGTATGCACACACATCATCTTTTTCCATTCATCCACTGACAGGGCATCTAGGCTGATTCCATATCTTTGGCTATTGTGAGTCATACTGCATAAGGTTGCTTTTGAATGGATTAAGAAAAAGACTTCAGGGTTTAGCTTTTTGACCCATAGTTGAATTCTCCCATTTGCAGTAGTTTTGTTTCTGTTGCTCTTTGTAGGGAATAATGGGGTTGTGGGAAAAGCTTTCCAAGCCCTGCGTGTTTCTGAGAGGAGCACGGAACATTCTGGAAGGTCCAGGTAGCTCTGGGGCATCAGCGCCTACCTGCTTTCCAGCCTCCTTCCCAATATGAGCCTCTGTCTGCTCAGGAGACACTTCTGGGCTCTGAGCACTGTCATATGGTTTATAAATTGCACTTTTTATGTCTGTAGCTCTTCTTCAGTGGACTCTGATTCCCCCCTCACAGGTGTACTGGGCAGTCTCAGAAGAGAAGAAAGCAAAGTGTGCGGAGAAGGGGAAATCCAAACAGGTAATTCCTGTTGTATCTACAGACAGCCACCCTGCATCCCTCAGTCATTCTGACCTCCTGATGCCATGGCTGTGACACGCAGGCCTGGCCTGTGAGTGGGCTGGATGGTGACAGTGGGCCCAATTACACCATGTGGCATCTGAAAGCGTATCCTTCTGTTCCTGAGGATTGGGATTGGCACTCTCAGGGAAAGGGCCAAGCAGAGTAAGCATTCAAGGAAGTAGTTTTTTATTTGTGTGGATTGAGTTTATTCAGAGGGCCTGAAATTTTGACTATGAAAACAATCTCTGATGCTCACTAGCACATGGTGTGAAATTCAGGGTTTGTCGTGCTTCCTTCCCAGTGAGCAGCCTCAGGCCCGAAGGCTTGCTTGTTTAGGGGTATTTGGCACATGTCCACCCCTCAGCATGATGCCCATTCAGGGAGTGCTGGCAGGGTGCTCCCCTGGCCACACACTGTACCCCTGTGTCCTTGCCTGAGGCTAGGCAGACATTCAGATTTTCAGACTCCAGGACCTCGAGGATCCCGGGTTATTGGTGTTGACAGCTGAATCATGATAAATTTCAACAGTTGTTGACTAGTTTCAAAACCAAAACAATTAAAACAAAAAGCCTGAGGAATTTTTTTTTTTTTGCTAAACTTTCTTAGTCAGGAGGTACTGAACACTTGCATTGAAGTACTTGTCTCTGAGTCCAGCATTACCTTAGGAAATGTGGAGGCTGGCAGGCATTGTGGTGGAATCACAGGTACTGTAAGAATCTGTCTGGAGCGGAAGGGGACCAAGCCCTCCCAGTTCCTTGTGTAGAGGAGGATGGACAGCAGCCTGGGGCCCAGGTCCAGGAGGACAGAGAGGAGTGTAAATTATATCCCAGCAGTTTAAAAACAGTCGGCAAAAAGACTGAGCTAATTTCAGACTATAGCACCTATAATCCAAGTCCTTTTCTGCCAAAAATAGCATGTGGGTTTTTAAATGGCACCTTTGTTTTTCTCCTGGGGCCTTTGTGATGCACAGCTGGCTGCACCCCCTTTTATAGTCAAGTCTCTCCCCTCTAGTGGAGCTGGGACCTTGAGATGCACTATTTCTAGTCCTGTGTGTACAGGAAGTGAAGGGTGAGGTCCTCAAAAGGCAGAGGGTGCTCTGTGTGGTGTACATTTGGGTAGGCTTGGCAGCACAAAGAATGATTGGTGTGTTTGGTGAGTCAAGTGCATTTCTTTCTATAGAGGGTATCCCTGGACAGTTTGAGGTCAGCTCTCACTGCTTTGTTCAATGGCCAGGTCTTTGCTGAGTGTCAGTTAGGGGCTGAACTGGGATTCTGCCCAGCGCCTAAACAGCCTGTGGGCACTGCAGAGCTTAAATTACATGGGTCAGCATGAGGGTCAGGGGTGCTGGGCCGGATCAGGGAGTCAGTGGCTCCTGCTTTTGTGCCAGCCAAACTGTTCAGGTGCCAGGCCTGCCAGCATGAGGAGGTCACAGCATGGACAGTGGCTGGTGCTTCTGGCTGGAGGCTGCTGACTCTCTGTTTCTCTCTCTCTCCCACTGTAGACAGAATGCCTCAACTATATCCGAGTGCTGCAGCCACTCAGCTCCACTTCTCTGTATGTGTGTGGGACCAACGCGTTCCAGCCCACCTGTGACCACCTGGTAAGGCCTTAGACTCCTCCCCTGTGCCCATTGTGTTCAGGCCCACCTGGTCAGTGGTTAGAGTATCTCAGCCCTCAGTGCGGCTGCAGAGTGGGCCTCAGTAGGTGTTCTTAAAGGTGTGCTGCTGATAGGTGCATGTACCCGCTGCCAGGATCCCAACACCTTGCTGCCTCCTCCTTTCCTTACCTGTTTGGTAAGGAAGGCCTGGCTGCAGGGTCTAGGCCATAGAAAAGTCATCTGCTCCTAGGTAGGGTATATCCTTGGTCAGCACATTGGTAGGTCTCGGAGGTCAGCATTCAATATCAGCCTTTGGTGTCCACCCTGCCACTGAGTGGTTAGAGGCAGGTACCTGACAAATCTAAAATGTGCTGTGCAGCAAATGCCCCATCTGCTGGGGACCCACAGCAAGCCCCCCATTGGATGCTGGAATCTTGGTCAGTGTCCAACCCTGTACAGTGCACCTGAGAACCAGGATGACTACGAGTAACCAGCAGGCAGGAAGGGCATGCAGTGTGGGAACACCAGACAGAGGGGTGAGTCACCTCCTGGCAGGACAGCAGGGTGGCACAAGGTCCCATCCTGCTGCTCAGCACAGCAGTTGACAGCAGGTAAAGGAAACCCTGCACAAGGGGAGACAGCTGTTGTGTAAAGCTTGGTTTCTTAGAATCCTAAATTGATTAGAGTTTCTAAAAAACATATTTTCCAGGCTAGGGATGTATCTTGCTGGTAGAGTGCTTGCCTAGTATGCAAGTGACCCTAAGTTCCATCCCCAGATGTCTGGAGTGGGAGCCACAGTGTGGGTTCCCCTGGTTCTCTGTATCTACAGATGCTGGCAGGGAGATTTGGTGTGGAGTGGGAGCCAGGGTCTTCTGTAATTAAACTGTCAGTCATGGAAGGTAGATGCTTCTTTTTGTTTAAATGTAAGAAACAAAGTGCAGTTGTATCACAAAAGTTCTGTACATCAAAGGATTTCCTGGCTGAACTGTAGTTAATTAGAAGCTTAAAGCACTGTTTTTCCCCTGGAGATGACAGTGGTTGAGGTAGAGGATAGTATTTTTCGTTTAAACCTAGACATACAACTTTTTCAGAAACATTCAAATCTGCAGAAAAGTTGGTCATTCATATGTATACTAACTACTCAGAGTGCACACTTGTGAGTACATGTGTCTGAGTGTGCATGGCCTTTACAAATACCTCTTAAGAATGACCCAGGCATGGTGCTGCAAACCTACAGTCTCAGCTGCTTAGGAGGCTAAGGCAGGAGGATCACAACTTTGAAGCCAGCCTGGGCAACTTGGCCAGACTTGTGTCTCAGAATAAAAAGAATGTTGTTTTCCTGCATAACTAATTTCACATTGTAGCTAAGAAAATAACCAGTAACTCCCAGGGTCACCCAGACTGCAGTCCTTGTCCAGCTTTCCCCAGTGGTTCTAGGCATCTTTTAGAGGTGTGATAACGTGGGTCCTGTCGAGTGAAGCACAATGTCACCCCACTCATGTCTCCTCGCCTGACAGGGGACTCTGAATTGTTTGAACCGGTCTGCAGCTGCTAGATGTGTAGGGTGCAGCCTGCTCTGGCACTCCCAGGCCTTCTTGCCTTTCCCAGCCGGCTCTTCTCCATGGCTCCTCTCCTCCCACCCCGGGTGTACCATCGTCCTGGGCTCCTCCAGACTGGGAGGCCACAAGGCCTGCACTGTGACTTTCTGGCTGCTCCTGGGTTTCTGGCAAGCTCGTCCCCTAGGGTGGTTCTTTCCTTGCTGGTTTTGCCTGTTTTCACCCCAGACACTCTTCCTTCGAGTTTGTACATGTCTGTCCTGTTTTCAGAGATGGAAACACCCTACCTGTCGTTCTGTGGGCATTCCCCCATTCATCACTTAGTGTTTAATTGTGCCCCGTTTTTCCCTGTGTGAGAGCTTTCTAGTTCTTTATATAGTAATAGATCTGTTTTTTCCTCCTGTCGGCTTCAATATCTGTGTCAAGTAAAGAGCTTGTCCCAAAGTTGGAATACTGCTTGCACCTTCTCCTGGTGCAGCTCAGTTTTGCTTTTCCTGTCCATCTGGAATGTGTGGTGATGGGTGAAGGGAGGGAGGTGCTCTCCTACTTCCCTCTGTGTTATCTGCTAGTTGGATAATCCATTTGCTCGTAGGTACTGAGATTCCACACGCAGCTTCTGGTCCCTTCACTGAGTACGTCCTGTGTGTGGATCCCCCAGCCTCCTTACAACCCCCAGATCATCAACAGGGGTGCCTCCATTCTGCAGATGAGTAAACGGAGGCTCAGAGACCTTGTGTAGCTCAGCCAAGGCGCTAATGTGCAAACCTGATCAGGACCCACGTGTCTCAGCACCCATTTACTCAGCCCTTAAAAGGACCAGGGAGGGAAAAAACAACCAAGGGTCTTTTAGGAATAGTGAATCTGCAGAATTCATTGATACAGAGTCAGACGTTTTATGATGTATTTTCTTTTTATTCATCTGTAGAACTTAACGTCCTTTAAGTTTCTGGGGAGAAATGAAGATGGCAAAGGAAGGTGTCCCTTTGACCCAGCGCACAGCTACACATCTGTCATTGTCGGTGAGTCTGCTGCCCAGGCTCCTTTACCCCTGAAGGTTCTGGCTGAGGTTGTTTCCCTGACAGGACACTTGGTCCCTCTTCCCTCCTCAGTGTGTAACATTAAGCCGCAGTTAAACAATGTGCATGTCCCTGTGTGTAGACTTGTTAGTGAGAGCTTCATCTCATTGTTCAAAGAAATAACTGTCCACTGCTGCGGTTGCTTTCTGTTTGCCACAGCTGCACTGCCTTGGTGCAGAGGACAAGCTCCTGTGTGACAGTCAGGTTAGCAAGTGAGTCACCTGCTGCTGACCTGAGGGGCTCCTGAGCTTCTGATGCTAGTGGGCTGGGAACCCTCCAAGCTCAGTGGTTCGCTTGGGATCTTTCAACTTGTTGAGGGTCACCCACATCACTGTCCTCTTTCACAGTCAGGATGGTACACAGTGAATCACGGAGATAGCACTGTGTTACACAGTAGGCTGTGTGAGCCGATTCTGCCCAGCTTCGGGCTCAAAGAGACGAGGCAAGGCTGTGCTCTGAGGTTCATAGGTCATGGCAGCAAATGCAGTTTAGCCTGAGGATGTTTACAACTTAGGTAAGTTTATCAGGTTGAAGCCTCCTTGTAAGTTCAGTTTGTGTTTGCACTGTTGTACTGGATATCGGACATTCTTGCTTGGTTTAGTTATTGTTCTTTAACTTGTAAAAGGCAGCTGAATGTGGCATGCACAGTTATCCAGATATGCAAGACAGGAAGTGGCAGCATTCATCCCACAGCCTGGAGACTGTTTTCTCTTTCGGGGGGTGGGGGTGGGGGGCAACTAGGTGATGAAGTTGTAAAGAGATAGTTATTAGTTGATTGTCCCAGACTTGGTGCCATAGCTGCAGGGGCTGATTTCCTTTTCCTCTTTCTTCCCGGGCTGCTGCAGATGGAGAGCTATATTCTGGGACATCGTATAATTTTTTAGGAAGCGAACCCATCATCTCCCGAAATTCTTCCCACAGTCCACTGAGAACAGAGTATGCAATCCCTTGGCTGAATGGTAAGAAGTGTGGGTGTGTACACTGTTTTATTTCTCCTTTGTGCCTGAGCTGTGAAGATCCCAAGCTTGAGTCAACCCCAGGGCAGTGAAGGATACTTCTAGTACTGCTCAGGGTCCCCCCGGTGTCCAGGGCTGTCTGGTTTGGTTTGTTCTCTCCTAATAGAGCATTATTTTAGGGCTGCTTTTACCGTGCCCTGAAAATGGATTTTATTTAAAGTGGGAATCTGATGGTACATAGAAGACTCAGAGTAATCAGATTGCGATATAGTGACATTTCCTGTGTGATATTAAAGGTAGAGTCTTGCCCAGCCTCCAGCACCTGGGTAGACAGGGTCAGGGATCAGGTGCCTTGTTACAACCGGCAGTGCTGACTTCAGGCTGCTTGTGAGGGATTTTCTTTGTGATGCTGGCCACTGGGCCCCTGGGAGCCTTCAGAGCCTCTTGCTCTGGGGTAGATCCTGTGGCTGAGTTGGGGCACAGCTGGCTACTCCTCCGTGTGGGCAGCCGTGGTGTCTTGGGCACCTGCACTATGCTTGGAATGTGTGAGAGCCCTTGTTTGATCCCTGCAGTGCTCAGAGTGCCTCCCAGCCAGGCCACCCCACCTGGGCTCTGCACTGGACATGGTCACTATCAAGGACAGCTCTCAGAAGCTGAGGAGAGCCACATAGAGGAGTGGTATTGTCTGGGCTCAGTGCTGTCATCGTTCCCATGCCAAGTCCGACCCTGCAGACGTCCTTGCAGGCCCCACTTGCCAGCCTGCAGCACCACGGGACATGGGCAGGAGTGCTGGTAATCTGGTGTGTCTCCCGGCAGAGCCGAGCTTTGTCTTCGCTGATGTGATCCGAAGAAGCCCAGATGGCGCGGAGGGTGAGGATGACAGGGTCTATTTCTTCTTCACGGAGGTTTCAGTGGAGTATGAGTTTGTATTCAAGTTGATGATCCCACGCATCGCCAGGGTGTGCAAGGTGAGCCCCCTGTGCTGGCACCGTCCCAGCCTCCATCAGAAATGTCACTTTCCCTGCTACTGCATCCCTTTGTGCCACAGACATCAGTGGTGACAGTGCCTGTCTGGTGCCTGGCCTTCCTTTCTCTGGGGACCTGGGGGCATTGGCACCCTGGAAGTGACCAACTGACTTATGGTTCTCAGGAGATTTTGGTTTTTGATGCCCTTCCTCAGACCTCCCCATGCCCTACCAGGTCCATTTTTGTCAACTGGATTCACTGTATTCTGTTGGACTTGGAAGCTGACCACTGGGCTCCTCAGGGAGCCTGCATCGGGCAGAGTTAGGACATCTAGAAGCAGTGTCAGGGAGAGGATGCGACTGTGGGAAGCCAGGGAGGACACACAGCAGTGGTCGCTGGCGGCTGCTCAGCTCAGGGACGGTGGACATTCATACCTCGGAAGTCGTTGGATGCACAGTCCTGCATGGCCTTCTTGTATAGCAGTTGCAATTTGAACACTATCGCAGAAGCAAAGGTTTCACACCTGAAACACACCAGTGCTTTTGACACCCCTCCCTCACAGTCTACCCCATAGTGCAGAAAGTAGACACTCTGTGTACCCAAACATCTGTCTGGCTTTATTGGCTACCCAGACCGTCTCTAACCAAGGCTTCCCAACTCAGTCCCCTAGTGTCCCCACCATGGCCACCTGGCTCTTTGCCCTGCTGACATGGAGACACCTCGGCAAGGGCGCCAAGGTCCAGGGTGTTGTCTCAGTGGTGCATGGCAGCTCCACAAGCCAGAGGGGTCAGTACTCTCCTCCCTCCTGCAGCTCTGGTCCCAGCAGGAAGCTGAGGCAGACCCACCTTGACCTTGGCCATGGTGCCCAGCCCTGGGGCCTGCAGGTATTCATGAACAGGTCCCAGATGCAAGCCACAGCCCCGCAGGTCCAGGTAGACTTTTGTTGTCCCTGAAGAGTCCCTTCGTTTTCCCACGATTGCTGTCACTGCTGGACTGAGACCAGTGAACATAACCCGACTCCTCACCTCCCGACCCCATGGACATAGAGCCTTTGGCTGCTCCTGAGGATGGAGGCCAGTGAGGCGCGTGGCTGTGGACATGGTGGGATTATATTTTATAAAACATAAAGGAAGAAAGTGAAGTTCTTTCATTAAAAAAGAAAACAGTCCTCCTGTGATGACACAGTAAAGATGAGAAGGAGGTATGTTTTTATTGGTCCAAAATAAGTAAGGACCTTTTGATTTTATCTTCTTCTACATTCAGATTTCTTAGTTCCAGTAGACTTGTCCCTCCTTATCCCTAAGGATCAGATCTAAGACCCCCAGTGCGTGCCTGAAGCCTCAGTGCGGAGCCTAAACAGACTGCATATGGAACTATATCAACTATGTGTTCCTTCCTTTAACTTACTTATTAATTAAATGTGAGCATACATGCTATGCCTATAAGTTTAACTTATAAATTAGACCGAAAGAGATTAGCAGTAATAATAAAATAGCTGTAATAATGCACTGTAATAAAAGTTAAGTGGATGTGGTTTCTCTCAAGAGTCAGAACAGTATTTTTGGACTGTTACTGAGTGTAGATGACTGAAACTGCAAAAGGTGGCACTGCAGGTAAAGGGCATGACTGTTTCTGTCCAGGCTGCGCAGTCAGGTGTCTTTGTAACTGTCACTTCACCGTCAGCCCATCAGGAGGTACTGAAGAAGAGCCTAGTAGGTCCTAAGCACTTCTGCCATATTTGGTGGGTATGAAGGAAACAGCGTGGAACGTCTCCAGGAGGGACGTCCCCATGGCCCAACGGGCTGCAGGGCCTGCTGCCACAGAGTGACCTGGCCACAGGGCACATGTTGGTGGGACACATTTGGGAGATTCCGGGGACAAGGCCAGAACAGGTCATAGCTGTGAAGGCGGCAGCACAACAGGGCTGTTGTGGCTGTGATGTCTCAGCCATCCTCAGATGAGTCTCCTGGGAGAGTGCTCCTGTCTGCCTTGTTTCTGAGCCTGCCTAGATGTAGTGCCACAGTCAGGGACCTGTCCTCCACTCCACAGGGCACTGCAGGGCCACTGCCACTTCCCTGCCATATCCTGTCTTGGGCTTTCAGGGGGACCAGGGTGGCCTGAGGACCCTGCAGAAGAAGTGGACCTCCTTCCTGAAGGCCCGACTGATCTGTTCCTGGCCGGACAGTGGCCTGGTCTTCAACGTGCTGCAGGATGTGTTTGTGCTGCGGACCCCGGGCCTGAAGGAGCCGGTGTTCTACGCACTCTTCACCCCGCAGCTGTGAGCACCCTGGGCCGATGGGTGGGCAGCCTGGCAGGTGGGGTGTGCTCTCCTTTCTGGCCTGCTGCCTTCCTCCTTGCTCACGTGGTCTCCTGTTCCCAGGAACAATGTGGGGCTGTCGGCGGTGTGTGCCTACAACCTGTCCACAGCGGAGGCCGTCTTCTCCCGTGGGAAGTACATGCAGAGTGCCACGGTGGAACAGTCCCACACTAAGTGGGTGCGCTACAATGGCCCAGTGCCCTCTCCTCGGCCTGGAGCGGTGAGCAGGGCATGGGGCTGGGGGTGGGTCATTCTCCCTGCCCCAGGCCCAGCTGCCTGCAGGTCTTTGTCTGTACCTGCCGGGCATCCACTGGGCCTCAGGGATTGAGCAACACTGCTCCTTCCTCTGTCCCGTCAGCATCCACATGTTGTGTCACAGTTCTTGCTACACCCTGGCCAAACAGGAAACTGAGCTGCCAGTAGGGGTCAGGGGCCGTTGGGTGAAATTAACATTGCATAACACAGTGAGGTCCTTCGTTTTCACACAGTTTCCCAGCAAGCACTCTGCACACTCATAAGCTATCCTGTGCACTAGTCAATAGCAGCCTTTCCACCTAAAAATTGTAAATTCCACATTTCTTTCCACCTAAAAATTGTAAATTTTAGGTAAAAAATTTCTACACTGACCTGGCCACCCACTCATTTTTCCCATATGTTGTGTGTGTGTGTGTGTGTGTGTGTGTGTGTGTGTGGCCCTCGATACGGCTGGAACCTGGTCCTCAGATCCCCACCCCAAGGCCGGCGGCCTCTTGGGTGTCCGGCCCTGACCTGGTCCTCATTCCTTCTGTGCAGCATGCTGCTCAGTAAAATGTGGTCACTTGTGGTTGAGGATTTTGGTTTCTGCACATCAGAAAACTAGGACAGGGAAAAAAAAATCCTTCCTATTCTTTAGTCTTTTATGGCATTAAAATTGGGCTGTTTTTCAGCAGTGCTTAGCGTGCTTCCCTTCTCATGGGAAAGCTACTGACTGATAAGTATTTTTCAATTTCAAAGACTTGGTGAGCATTTATAAATACATAAAAGTTCCTCCACTAATTATGTGTCATAAAATAATTATATGTAATAGATATACTTTAATACCATGTCCTCTCCTAGACTGGCAGTAATTCCATTTACTTGGGAGGCTGAGACAGGAGGATCACAGGTTCAAGGCCATCCTGGGCAACTTAGACCCTGTCTCAAAGTAAAAAATAAAAAGGGTGGGTGTATAGCTCAAGAGTGGAGCACTAACCTAGCATGCGCAAGATCCTGGGTTCAATCTCCAGGACCACAAAATAAGAGTATCTTCCTATTCCTGGAGCAAGGCCACCTCATTGTCCACTGTTAGCTGGCTTTTGAGAAGTCCCCTATTCAGTGGTTCCCCTGCTCATCGGCTGCTGGGTGTTCCACGCCGTGAAGTGGTGCCGGGCTGGCAGTGGGCCTGTGTGGTAATGGCCGGTGATCGGCCCTACAGTGCATCAACAGTGAGGCTCGGGCAGCCAACTACACCAGCTCTCTAAACTTACCTGACAAGACGCTGCAGTTTGTCAAAGACCACCCTCTGATGGACGACTCAGTCACTCCAATAGACAACAGGCCTAAGTTGATCAAAAAGGATGTGAACTACACGCAGATCGTGGTGGACAGAGCCCAAGCCCTGGACGGGACCGTGTATGACGTCATGTTTGTCAGTACAGGTGGGTGCCAAGGGCAAAATAGTCACTGCATGTAAGTAGGCTTTTTTTGGGTGGCTCTGGTTTCTCCCTTAATGTGACCCAAGTGTGACTAAGTGAAAGGCTTCCCAGGAAGTCCCCACAGCTGCGCTTCTGTGGCCAGTGGCCACCTGGAGCACTGATTTGCAAGTCCTGGCCTGTACCTGGGCTTGGCTGGAGCGGAAGAGGCCCCACTCCTGCTGAGCTGGGTGATGCCTAGGCTGGCCGGCCTGGGGGACCTGGCAGCCTGGTCTTTGCTGACTGCCAGCAGGGGACCTTGCCCCTGCACCCTGCCAGGCTTGAGACCTGCCCTGCCCTGCATGGGACAGACCCCTCCCTTCACCTTGGGCGGAGATGAGTGTTTCCGGAATGGGGGCCATGGCCCGCCCCAGGAGCTTCCCAGCTGTGTGTGTGCCCTGCCCTCGCCTCCCTGCTAGGACTTCAACAGGGATGACACCTCCCCAGGGGGCCACCTGACCACAAGAGCCCCACACCTGGGATCTGGCTCCCTGTGTCATCACGTTGACCTTGAGGATGAAGGTTGTTGGAATCAGCTGTGGAATGGGCTTATTTTTTGTAAGGAAATCAGAATAACCCATCACTTGCTTCAAGTCATTTTATTTTGCCACTTCTAATGCAGAGTCGCCCCTCTTTTCTAAGCATCTTGCTGAGCATGTGAAGGGTGAGCATTGGCTGTGGGAGCTGGAATCTGGTGAGCGCTCCAGGGCTGCCTCGCTGACCTCGGCTTTGACCTTGCAGATCGTGGAGCCCTGCACAAAGCTGTGAGCCTCGAGAATGAGGTGCATATCATTGAGGAGACTCAAATTTTCCCAGACTCCGAGCCGGTGCAGACTCTGCTGCTGTCCTCGAAGAAGGTAAAGAGGCCCCAGCAGCAGGGCCAGGTGGCTGGCACACTTGGCAGCTTTTGGTGTCTGGGATCCGAGGTTGGCCAGGCTGCAGTCGGCTGCCCAGGGTCTCTTGGTGGGCGTTTGAGGCTTTGAGGGCTGGATCCCTTGGGCACACACTTATCTCTGCCATGGTGGCTGCAGTTAGCTGTGGCAGAGACAGATGAGTAAGCCTGCCTGTGGACCCTGAGCTTTGCACATCCCAAGAGCCTCATGGGGCACAAAATATTATTCTTTGTATTTTTTTCAGCCACGTAAAAATGTAAAACCCCACTGGGTGTGGCGACACACACGCCCTGGGAGGCAAGAAGCTGGCAGGTTTCAGCCAAACCTGGGCAATTTAGCAAGACCTTGTTTCAAAAAAATAAAAAAGGACTGGGAAGTAGTTCGGTGTGAAGGCCCTAAGTTCAATTTCCAATACAACAGTCAGTCAGTCAACCAACCCCTCCATCCCTCCCTTTTCTTAGCTAGAGGGCTGTACAGGAGGAGCCAAGAGGGCTAGGTGTAGCCTGCTGGTGGCAGCTTTTGGTCCCCATCATGTGTCCCTAGTGGCCTTAGAAACTGGTGCTGCCACATTTGCATCTGGGATGAAGCAGGGAGTTGCACAGTACTGGGAATGGGGCTCAACACAGAGCAGATGCCACGGGCCCATGAGCAGGGCTGCCATCTGCCCTCTGGGAGAAGTTGCCTGATGAGGAGCCCTGAGCCCCACCCTGTGCCTTCCCTCTCCTGCTTAGGGTCTCCCACCCTGACCTGAGCAGATGAGCCCTGCATTATACCTGTAGTTACTGGGGCTGCCTGGCACTTAGCCTCTCTGACCTGTATTCTGTTTCCAAAATCTGGCTCTTGGACCGAACTGAACTTTGCCACTTTCTATGCTGCCAGTCTCTGGTTTGACAAGGGCAGAAGAAGGGACAGCAGGCAAGACCAGGGTCTGACCCCTTGGACAGGTGCATATTTGTAAGTGCCCCCTAGGGTCCCCCATCCTTCCCCCTTTATCCATGTCTACAAGGCTTTAGGATCCTGGGGCTGGTGTTTTGTTTTTTTTTTTTTTTTGGTATCGAGGCTCAAACTCGGGTCCTTGTGCTTGCAAGGCAGGCGTAGGAACCACTGAGCTAAATCCCTGGCCCCCTGGAGCTGGTTTTCAAATAGCTATTCCCTGATCACCTCCCCTCTCAGCCACTGCAAAATATGGCTGCTCCCTGGCCTGGTGTTGCCTATCTACAGTGCATGAAGGTACCTAGGGGTGTGCAGGGTGGGTGGTTTTTCTTGCCTGCCATACTTGGCCTTGCCCCTGGAGCCCTGCTGGGGTTGCTGTGCTGCCCATTTGCTTCAGCCAGGCTGGTGCTACACTTGGGAGGCCTCCACTGTGTGGGGGGTTCTTCAAAGTGTATTCAGGATCCTGAGTGTAAAAGATTCCAGGGCACCATCAACTGGAGACTGGATAAAGAAGATGTAGGTTTTGTTGGGTTTTTTTTTTAATAAAAAGAGTACCACTCACCCATAAAGAATGAGAAACTAGAGACATTAATAGCTAAGTGGATGCACATTGAGGAGATACTCTTAAGTGAAATAGGACACACATCTGTAAATACCGAATAGTTTCTCTTGTGTGAGAAACTGAAAGTGTAAATAAAGATCAAAATGTGTAACAGATAATGTGAAATAGGAAGAAAAGGTCTAAAGGGGAAGGGGAAGTGGGAGGGGTAGTGGAAAGGCAAGAAGGGGAAGGAATAAATATGAGAAAAGGAAAAAACGGAAACAAAGTCTTTGTAAATAGGGAGGGGTGGAGGGTTTGAAGGGAGGGCAGGGGAAGGGGAAAAATAAAAACAAAGATATGTCACGCAAAGGTATAGATTCCCAATGATGAATGTCATCTCATTGTATACCTAAAATGTACCAATAAAATTAATGAATAAATTAATAAATAAAATAAAATATAAAAAGGGCTGGGGAACAAAACCCAACAGATTCCAGGGAACGTGGTGCCAATCCCCAAAGGCAGACAGGAGGGTCCTGTATGGGACAGGTACAGGTTAATCCGGCGCTGAGAAGGGAGCTTTGGTAGCTCATCCCTCACAGGTCATGTCCTTTGCCACCTACCCTCGGGCTGCACACACATAGGAGCCAGCAGAGTTCATCCAGGGAAGGAGTCTTGGACACACCCCTCCGCCAGCAGGTGTCTTTGTTTTTGTGTTTTTATCAGTACTTGCTCGCTCACTGTACATAGTGATTACATTCACTGCATGGAGTTGGCAGGTGTGCATGACACATCCTAATGGTTTTCTTATCCCCTCCACCAGGTGTTTTTATTCACCTTGTTAAATTTTTTGTTTTGAAATAGTTTGGGATTTGCAGAAGAGTAGAATGGGTACCACAGAGGGTTGTTGTGCCTCACCCAGCCTTGCGTGTGCCATGGATTTGGGAGGGTTACCTGGACCCTACACCATACCCAGCATCCCACACCCAGCCCCCCCACATTCTCAGCCGCAGACCCCATAGTGCATTGTGGCATCACGGCTCCTCCACATGTCCCTGTCCCTGGCCTGGCACACCTGGAGAGACCTAGTCAGGTGTTTCATGGTGTCTGGTGGTTTCTGCTGACTGATGGGGTGTGGTTTGGGGAGGGCACTGTGGGGAGTGGGCCCTGGGGTGTGGCATCTGGCTGCCCTTGACTCCTGACAAGCATAGGTCTGTCCGGCTACCTTGGGTGGGGAGCTTGGGCCCCACCTCTGGCAGGCGGTCAGGGAATGTGTGGGCCTGTGTTACAACCCAGGGAGAGTTGTGCTTGTCCAGGGGCCCCTCTGAGACTGAGAAAATGAGGTCGGTCAGCCCTCATATCCCTAGGGTTCTTAGCTGCCAGTTTCACATTTGCAATTCTGCTGGTCTCAGGTTGAAAATATTTGAAAAAAAAATAGTGCATGTGCACTGAAATGTGTGGATTTTTTTCTTGTCATTATTCCCTAGACAATGCAGCATCTTAGGTATTAAAAGTAATCTAGAGGTGATGTATACAGGAGGATGTGCTTAGATTATATGCAAATACAGTTTTATAGAAGGGTCTTTGGTACCTGTCGGGGGTCCAAGAGCCAATTTCTCATGCATGCCAAGTGATGACTGTCTGGTTTTTCTCTCATGTTTGTTTTTGGTGTTTTTTTGTCTTCAGGGGCGGGGTCTTGCTCTGTAGTCCAGGCTGGCCTTGAACTCACAGCAGTCCTCCTGCCTCAGTCTTCAGAGTGTTTAAATTATGAGTTTGTGCCACCACACCCAGTCTGTTTCTCCCCTCACCCACTAATTTTAGCATCCCTGGTGGGCTTTGCTAGTGGCAGGTCCTGCCGAGTGTCCCTTCCGTGTTTGCTTGCTGGAATCCATGTGCTGGGACTCAGTTGTAACAGCTTAACTCCGTGGAGCTCCCCCTAAAGCCGTTGGGGAGAAGCAGGGCTGATGTCCTAGAGGACAGGGAGGGTCAGAGTCCCCAAGGATGGGCCCTGCCTTCCCATAGCCTGTCCATGACCACAAATTATACCCTGCACAGCGGCCACACACACCACCTTACAGGTATCCCCAGCAGGACGCAGCTTGGCCATTGCCCCAGGAAGTATTTTTGTACTTCCATAGATCACATGATCCCCCACACTGATCCTGAGGATCTTCCTATGTCCCCTTATGTGGTAAGCACGGGCCTCATCTGCCTGGGTCTCCATAGGATGGGGCTGCTGGGCCAGGCCTTTCCTGCTGTTTGTTGTCATCACTGTTTTCATCCTTGGGGGGACCCCTTCCTATGAATCTCTGCTTGGCCAGGCAGGGCATGGCCCGGGAGACTCGGTCAACATGGGGACAATGAGCTCCAGCCAGACTCTGAGGTGCGTGCAGGTCGCATTCTGACTCTCGTGCTGTATAAACTTGTGTGTGTGTGTCTCGGGTCTTTGATGTCACCCTAAAGGTTTTCTAGTATATCACCATGAGACAGAAACTCCCAAGGACACAACAGACACCGTGCCTGCTACCCTGCGTCCCCAGAGGAGTACTCCCTCTCACTTTCATTGGTGGAAAATCTACCCGATGCCTGTGTGTCCAGCAGGGGCCAGGGCCCCAGAAGACAGAGGCATCCAGTTTGCTCTTGCTCTGAGCATGGCTGTGCAGGGGTCTATCTGTGCTCCTTCCACAGAACTGTAGATGTGTGGAAAACACAGTGTCAGCCTCCTTTTTAAAATTTTTTTATTTTTTTGCCATATTGGGGATTAAACCCAAGGCCTTTGCACTGAGCTCATCCCCAACCCTTTTTATTTTTTGAGATGGGGTCTCACTACGGAGCCCAGTGTGGGCTGGTGTCATCCCTTCTTTAGTTGAGTCACTAGCACTCTGTTCGCACTCTGTTCGTCCTTTGCACCGTACTAATAGATTGCCCTGGACACATGGGTGCAGACACTGGTGATGGGCTGGTGAAACAAGCAGTGGTGACACAAGCCCTGTCCACAGGTGTCTTGCTCACACAGGGGTAAGAGTAGCCTTCAGAGGTTGTGCGCTTCAGCTTTTGGCTGCCACTAATGCTGTCTCTCTCCAGGTAGGTCAGGGAAGGGCAGGGCCTCTCGCTCCACAGGCAACCACCTGGAGGCCATCTGAACAGCTCCCTCCTCAGGAAGACATAGGTACAGGGTGCACTTTGCCAGCGGGTGGGACCCAGACAGGCAGAGAAGCAGAGGAGAGGGAAAATGTGGACCCAGGGCCTGGAGGCCCCTTGCATCGCGTGCTATTGGCTTGGACACCACCTGCCATCTTTTTCATATGAGTCATGCTCTGAGTCTGTCTTAAGTCCCACTGGCCTTGCTCTAGCTCAGGTCAGGGAGGGCCACCCTCCTCCCCACTGCAGGACCTGAAGATGCTTGGTGCTGTTCCCACAGACTCAGAGCCCCTGCTGTGGGTGACTGCTGACTATGCCTGCTCTCCTCTCTCTTCCCACACACAGGGCAGGAGGTTTGTCTATGCTGGCTCCAACTCGGGTGTGGTGCAGGCCCCTCTGGCCTTCTGCAGGAAGCACAGCAGCTGCGAGGACTGTGTACTGGCGCGGGATCCATACTGTGCCTGGAGCCCAACCACAGCTGCCTGCGTCTCTGTACACCAGACCGAGGGCCCCAGCAGGTACGGGGTAGGGAACGCTGCCTGAAGGTGCCCTCATGTTGGCTCGGCCCAGTAACCACACTGGTTGTTTTGCAGGGGGTGGATTCAGGAGATGAGCGGTGATGTGTCCTCGTGCCCGGGTGAGTGGATCCCCATCCTCTTCCCCAAGGATTAGCCAGCGCGCAGAAACATTCCATGGCGCTTCAGTGGTGTGGCATTTGTGTGTTCTGTTTCCTTTCTCTGCTTGAAATGGAGGTCAAGAATTGCATAGCAGGCCCAGTCTCTCTCTGTCCCTTTGATTGCAGAAAGAGTATTTGGAGTCATGTAGGGGATATTGGTTCACTGGAAAGCACTCTGTCCCAAACTGACCTCTTCTCGGTTTTGCTTAGCTTTGGGCTCAAGGTAGGACAGAAAGAGACCATGAGTACAGGTCGAGCACCTCTAGTCCCAAAACCACAAATCTGAAAGCTTTTGAGCACTAGCGTGATGTCACAAGTGGAAAATTCCATACCATGGAACTTTGTTTTCTGCTCAGAGTGATTTAAAATAGTGCATAAAATTATCTTCTGGCACTGTGTAAGGTGCATATGACACATAAATGAATTCCTGTTCAGACTCGGGTACTCTTCCCAAGGTATATCATTATGCATAAACAACTCTTCCAAAATCTGAAAAACATCTGAAATCCATAACTCTTTTATCCAGCATGTTAAATAAAAGATGTACCCCATTCCCGGTAGTGGCTGGGGGAGACAGCAGTGTGACCCAAGGACAGGTGGAGCTGGGCCAGCAGTCCTATGCTCCTTGCTGGTGTGTAAAGGCAGGTGTGGCCCTTGGCTCTGGGGCCCCTCTCCTCTCTAAGCAGACAGTAGTCATCACATTAAGGAAGGGTAAGAGGAGGGTGCTACGGTGCTTCAAAAGCCAGCCTTCCCTGCAGCCACTAGCCAAGTGCTTGGTGTCTCACTGAAGCTGCGGCCATCAGGCACGGAGCTGGCCTCTGCTCTGTCTCCCCAGCCCTTGGGTTCAGGGCCAAGATGTGGGATTTCTGCTCTTCAGAGCCACCTCTGATTTCCTCTGTGCCCGAGGGCTGCCATCAGATTTCATCTTTGCTTTTGTGGCCACGCATGTCTTTATCTCCTTAGTTGTTCTGGAAGATTCCATCTTGCTCCGGTGGGTGAAGCGTGTATCCTCTTGTGGGTATTGACCTGTTTTTAAAAGAAGTCCAGTAAACCACCAGGGTTGTTGATGCTGTGCACATTTATTTTGATGTTCCAGATAAGGTTAAAGAAAGTTACCGGCAGCATTTTTTCAAGCACGGCGGCATGGCGGAACTCAAATGCTCCCAAAAGTCCAACCTAGCCCGGGTGGTGTGGAAGTTCCAAAACGGTGTGCTGAAGGCTGAGAGCCCTAAGTATGGTCTTGTGGGCAGGAAAAACCTGCTCATCTTCAACCTGTCGGAAGGAGACAGTGGGGTGTACCAGTGCCTGGCAGAGGAGAGGGTCAGGAACAAGACGGTCTCCCAGGTGGTGGCCAAGCACGTGCTGGAGGTGAAGGTCCTCCCTCGGACCCCAGCGGCCCCCACCGCACCAGTCTCTCAGGCAGAAGGAAGCAAGGCCGCCCCCAGGGTGCCTGCAGCGTCTACCCAGGGGTCTTCTCCCCTGACCCCGGCTGTACGGGCCACCTTTCCTGGGGCCATCACCCCGCCTCCCAGGCCCACACCCACCAGCACTTCCTGCGAGCCAAAAGTCGTCATCAACACGGTCCCACAGCTGCACTCGGAGAAGACAATGTATCTCAAGTCCAGCGACAACCGCCTCCTGATGTCCCTCTTGCTCTTCACCTTTGTTCTCTTCCTCTGCCTCTTTTGCTACAATTGTTACAAGGGCTACCTACCTGGGCAGTGCTTAAAATTCCGCTCGGCTCTGCTGCTCGGGAAGAAGAAGCCCAAGCCAGAGTTTTCGGACCTGGAGCAGAGTGTGAAAGAGACGCTAGTGGAGCCCGGCAGCTTCTCCCAGCAGAACGGAGAGCAGCCCAAGCCAGCCCTGGACACCGGCTATGAGACGGAGCAGGATACCATCACCAGCAAAGTCCCCACAGACAGGGAGGACTCGCAGAGGATTGACGAGCTCTCCACCAGGGACAAGCCATTCGATGTGAAGTGTGAACTGAAGTTCGCAGACTCGGATGCAGATGGAGACTGAGGCCATGTCCCTTTGTGGGGAGTTTTGTGTTTAACCTATTCAGTAACTGAGTCTCGAGTCTCGTCACCGTGCAGCGATCCTTAGTCCTCTGTTTCTCTTGGGTTGAGCCTGTGACTTGTTCCTCTTTGTGCTTTGGGAAAGCGACAAGCATTGAGTCCTGGGCTCGAGTCCCCAGTGGGTTGGAGCACTTGGAGATCTCTGAGTGGGTGGCAGCCCTGACGTATCTGAGCCCCTTGTGTCACGGGGAGAGATGGCTTGACTTCTGGCTGAGAAGGATTCCTTCTTCTTCCCCTCCTCGTAGCCCCCACTAAAAGATAATTTCATTCCAGATTGGAAATGACGTTTTAGTTTATCAGATTGGTAACTTATTGCCTGTTGTCCAGATTGGCACAGACCTTTTCTTCCATTGAATTATTTCTTAGGATTTTGCTTTGATTGTGTTGAGTCTTAGGTCATTTCTTTCATTACTGAAGCAGATGTTTTAATATTTAGAAGAAGATATTCATCTTCCAGATTTTGTTATATATTGGAATATGGCTTATGTTGCTTACAATTCTCAGGGATAGACTTACTTTTGCTAAATGCATTCTTTCTCCTTTTAGAAGTGTAGTCCTAAAAAACACATCTCTTGAACACACTCACCTTTTTACTTTTTTTTTACTTTATTTCTTGGAAGCATCATTTTCAGAGAGATTTTATTTCTGTAATTTTTTAAAAACTTTCTAGAAGAGGAGGACTGTCCTGCATCCACAGGCAGATGTCGAGTGAAGAAGGGTGGCCCAGTGGCCCTGGGTGGTGGCAGTCAGGCTGCCTCCCGAGGGGAGGAGCGTGTTCCCATCCCGTGCCTGTGTCCGCTGGGTGAAACCTCCCGTCCGGGCAGGCAGAGCCTTCACAAGGATGTCTTGGGTTCTCTGAACATCTCCCTTCTCGTCTTGCTTCCATCTCATCCCCACTGCCACCCAGAATCTGCCCTTGGTCCCATGGAGCTATCCCCCACCCCTGGAAGGCCTGTGGGCTGTGACCACACACGGGTGCACACAGCCACTGGCGCGGACCCGCCTCCGCGCTGTCCTTGAAGATGTGAACGGGCGGTACGATTTTAACCTTCGTTGTTTCACGCTCCATCTCCCACTTTGTAAATACTCATTCAGAGGAGGACTTTGGTTCTGTGGGAAAGAACCCTAAACTCTGGATTGCTATGTGCCTGTGTGGACAGTCTCACCTTCCAGCACGATATGAGTTCATTTTTGGTGTAAACTTTTGGGTTTTATCAGATTTACTTTGGTTTTATTTTTCTATCTTGACTTGTATACATGTGGAAAGTATCCAAATAAATGAGAGGCTCCTATCATTCCCTGGGGCGGGTGTTCCTTGCGGAGACTGGGGCAGCCCTGTCCTCGCCCGCCTGTCCGCTTCCTGCTGTGCTTCACCTCCAGTGGCCCGGGACGCTGTCCTGGCGACGCCCTCCTCAGTGCCCTTTCTCTTCTGTCCTCTGTCTCACAGCCTCACCTCCTAAGCCCTTCCCTCCTCCTGGCTCCTCCTCCCTGTCCTGTCTGGGCCCCGACTCGTCTTCCTCTCCCCGGAACCCCTGGCCAGCCCCGGGCCCAGGGCCTGACAGCCGCACGCGGGTCGCCTTGCTGCCACCCTTCCTGAGTGACCAGGCACAGCAGGTGCAGGCGCTGGGGACCTTCCACCTCTTCTGCCAGGCTACAGGTGAGTCGGGGCATGCCCTGTTAGGCTGTCTCCTCCCACAAGCAAATAAGATGGCCGAGGCTGCCTCCACGTCCACAGTCTTCTTGCTCGGCCCTCACTGCCCACTGCCTTCCGTGCTGGTCCTGAGGCAGAGCCATCTGATGCCTTCCTGCCGGCTGAGCCCTGCATAACACTGTAACAGCAGGAAGCTGTTTCGAGCATATAATAGGAGTCAACTAGCTCTTCTCCAGAAAGGACCAGATTGCAGGCTGTGAGGGCCACAGGGTCTCTGTCATAACTGCTCAGCTGCTGTGACACTGGAGAAGCAGCTGTAGATGAGAACATGAGTGGCAGGGCCATGTACCAATGAAACGTTATTTACAGAAATTGGCAGCAGGCCAGATTAGGACCAAAGGCCAATTTGCTGACCTATGGTACAGTGTATAGGGTTGCTTTTATTTCTGTAATAATTTAGAGATTGATAGGTCATTTGGATTCTTTTTTTTCTTTTCTTTTTCTTCAGTACTGGAGATTGAACTCAGGGCCTCAGACATATCCATCCTCAGCACTTTGTAAGAAATTTTTATTTTGAGACAGGATGTTGTGAAGTTGCCCAGGCTGGTCTAGGATTTGCGATCCTCCTACCTCTAAGTTGCTGGGATTACAGGCATGTGCCGCCACATCTAGCACATTCAGAAATTTTAAAAAAGTAACCTCAGAGGGCCGGGATGTAGCTCAGTGAGTGGTGCCCTGCCTGCTTCTCAAGCACAAGGTCCTGAGTTTTATCTCCGGTACCCCCAAAAATAAAAAAATAGTAACCTCAGAGGTCCCAGAATAGGGGTTCTGTTGACCTGTTTCAGGATGTTTAAGAGCAGAAAATACTGAGTCTGGTATACACCCTGCAGACATAGGGTTGCTTTGACCAGTGTTGGAGAATATTCCCGTGGGATCTTCTCTTGGAGGATGGTGGTTCAGCCAGAACCATACTTCAGATCCATCCCTGGCTTCGGCAGCACCTGGCAGCCATCTCTTATCTGATGGTTGGTGACCTGGGCCTCTCTGCTCAGAGGAGAGGATTGAAATTAATGAGGAGGGAACACAAATCCAGTTTATTTTTTAACCCTAAATGATTAGAAGTTACTAAGAGTTATAAGCTGCCACCTGTCCCTTGTTAAATCAGCTCTAGGAGCCTCTGAGAGTCCTGTGTCCAGTATGAATGCAGGGCCCGTTAGCAGCCAGTAGGCCTGCACAGGCCCTCCAGGTGTGGACTGTAGAGACTGACCTTTGTCTACCTCTTGTGGTATGAGCTCTGTTGGGTTTTCGTTTTGGGTTTTGAGAGAAAGGATCTCACTATGTTTCCTAGGCCAGGCCTGAATTCCTGGGCTCAAGTGATCCGCCTGCCTCAGCCCCTTGAGGAGGACTTATACCACCACACCCGGCCGTCTGAGCTCCTTTGGCCCAGGCCTGCACTGAGACGCCTGGGTGTGACTCCCTGGTCAGGTTTTTCCTTGGGCTGCAGAATGGAAGAGTCCTTCAAGGCTGGTGGTGGCAGCTGCGGAGTACCACATGAGCCCACTGGAGGACCACCTTGTTATTGGGGAGCTGGGTCCACACAACAGGGTGAAGAGCCTGTTGCTTCTTCCCTGCAGACCTGGGCAGGCTGTGTGGCTAAGCGCATGACATTGTTAGGTAGCAAGTCTTCAGTTGCGTGTCACCTGCCCACTAGATTTTCATACAGCGAGCCCTTGGGGTTGGCAGAGTGAAAGACTAGTGCCTTTCAGGGAACAGACTTTGCTGTGGTGTCAGTGTGTGGAGAAGCTGGTGTGGGGAACTGGTTGTGAAGGTGACAGAGGGGCTGGGAGCTGAGTGGACAGTAGGAACGGTAGAGGCCAGCGCCCATGTGGGTGGCTGGGGTAGAGGGAAAGGCACCATTTGGTCTCATCTCGGTGCCACCAAGGCCAGGCCATGGGACCTGCAACTTCCCCTGCTGGCCTTGTGGGCTCAAAAAATGCTTCTTCCTTCCGCCCTGTGCTTTTGTCAGTCCTCCTGAATCCCAGGGTCAGAAACAGCCATGGTCTTGCTCCTGCTGCCAAGGCAGTGTATAGAGCATGGTAGGAGCTGATAGGACGAACTTGACCCTTTTCCAGCCCTCAGACCAGATTGGAAAGTTGGGAAACTGAGGCCTCCCACCTCCCCTCTGCCCTCCTTGTGTGGTTGCTACCCTCTCCAGAAACATATGGGCCCCCTCTGGGGCCTTGCTTTCCTGTCCCTTTATTCCATCGAGGCCATACCTGATGGCCTGGCATAGAGAAAGGGCTGGCCGTAGACCTGTGCAAGGGCTCAGGCCAGGCGGCTCTGGTGTATGTGAACCAAGGAGCCTATGCCTCTGCGCCCTGGAATAGGCTGCAGATGGAGTCAGGATCTGCAGACTGACCACCCTGGAGCACCGGCCACATGTCAGCCTTTGCTGGGGAGAGATGGGTGTGACCTTCTGCCTTAGGCATGGTCCCTGTAGGAGTTTAAGAGGTGCTGTTCAGGGCAGGCCCAGTGTCTGCAGCCTGCATGTGACCCATTTGAGGAGACCACTGCTCCCTCTAGGGTAGACCAGGTTTGGACCTTGACCTGGGCTTTTTTCCTTCCTGAAATAGCTGGCTCTGTGGCCGTCGTCATCAGCATTGGGGGATGCCTGGTTTTTCTAAAAACCCGAATACGAGGTTCAAAGAGAGGGTGCGTGTGGGATCTTTGGTTCCTGCTACTCCCTGGTGTCTGTGCTCTGCTGGGTGACCCTTCTCCCCAGGGGAGCACCACATCTCCGGGGAGGCTGGCCAAAATCACATGGTCCAGCCTGCACTCAGAGACTGGGCCCACCCTAGTACCCACCGAGGGCCTGCCTGCCACCAGATGTGCCCCAAAAGTGAGAAGTGTCCCCATGGACTTAGCCTTAGCTGCTGGGAAGAGGTAAGGCCACTGCCCACCCTGCAGGGGTCAGGTTGGTCCCAAGGAATACCTTGGTGTGAGCAGGAGAGAGGGCTGGAGGAATAGGAGGCCCAGGGAGGAGGGCCTAGTGGAGTTCAGTAGAGGGGAGATTTGGCCATGTAGCAGGGCAGGTGGGCATCTCCCAGAATGACACCTAAAATAGCCCCTGCCACCGAGTCTGGCTGGGAGGACCTGGGCAGGGAGCTGGAAGGGCTTGGTGGCTGTGGTCCCAGAGCCCTGGGCCCCGAGCTTGGCCACAGGAAGGGAGGGCGGGCCGGGCACTCTCCTTCCTCTATGCTTCATGTCTGAGTCCTCAGAGACCAGTGTGCTGGGGGCTCAGGGCAGCTCCTGGTGACCACCTGCCCCTGGGCCCCTAGGAAGGGACAGCAGCTTGAGGAGCCACCCAGGCTCCAGGTGGCATCACCACACTGCGCTGCACTGGCAGGGGTCTGTGACTACTCCGTGTGTGTTGGCCTGGAACTAGTGGGTTCCTGTTCATTGTATTACCATGTGGCCAGCTACGATGGGTTGAAAGGACGCGCACACCACATATCACATCACATCACACACACCATACCATCCGCACCACACAGCACACCACACATGCCATGCACACCAAATTCATACGCAGCACACCAGACAACATGCCGCACATTCCATACACACCACACATAGCATACACATCACACGTACTTCACACATACCTTAAACACCACATAGCACATACAGCATGGACACCATGTGCGTATATAGCATGATACCACATAGCACACCAGGTAACACACCATACACAACACATAAATACTACACATGACATCCCACACAACACACCAGGCAACACCACATATACATTATCCCACATACAACACACAGACCACAGACATGGATACCACACATGCATAAATCTGCCACACCCCCAGGCCAGCTGGTTGGTCAGGATACTTTCTGAAGACCCTTCCTGTAGGCATGTCTCTAAGGTGCCTTTTGCACCTACAGCGCCAGTGGTCAGGATGGGGATATTTGAGAGTCTGTTGAGCTGGCCACAGGGCATCAGCAGATTGGGGATGGCTGGGGACCTCCAGGAGAACTAAGGGATAGGTGTGGTGGAGACCTGAACAGAAGCCCCTTCCACTCCTGGCCAGGGTGCAGGCTCCACAGAGCCTCCTGGGCCCCCATCCCACACCCACGGAGGCCTTTGAGGGCACAGATAGGTGAGCCTGGAGCAGCCAGGCCCTTGATACCCCCTGACCTGGCTATATTGAGTCTTTTGTCCCTTTCTCAAGGAGGGCAGGGCCACACCAAGAAGGCCTCCCCTGTGGTCCCCTCCCCATCCCAGGGTCCCAGGTCCATGACTGTTGACGGATGTCCCAGCCACCCGGCCTCTCCCCAGTTCCACCCCTTTGCTGTGATCCAATGGTGCCTTTTGCCCTGTGACTCTTGCTGTCGTGTGGTGATGTAGGGGCCATGCAGGGTATAGGCTGCCTGCTCCTTACAGTACCTTCTGCAGATTCTAGCAGCTGCTCCAGAGCCTCCGAGATGTCCTGGAGGGATGTGGGGTCCCAGCCTGGCCAGTCCTCAGGCAGGCCACCTACTGGTCATCAGGTGTGTCCTGCACCGGACTCCCCAAGGGTGCTTATTAATGACCGAGGTCCCCTCCGAGACAGTAGGGTGCAGTCTTGAGTACT